GGTAAGGAAACTGGTAGACAGATAAACATGTAGAGGTAGACAAATGAACAGGCGGAGAGGTAGACAGGCGAACTGGTACACAGGTGGACATATGAACTTGTAGATTGTTAAAGAGATAGAAAAGTAGTAAAGTAGACATGTAAACTAGTAGACAGGTAGTGCGGTAGGCAGGTAGACAGGTAGATCATTTATAAATAAAAAAATATTTACTTTTCGGAAAGTTCTTGCAACTTACCTTAAAGCAAAATTACACTTATTGATTTGAGTTTTAAATTTAATTTTATTATTCTTATATAAATAAAGTCATTGCACATTGTGAATTTTTTAGTAGAAAAACTTTTAAATGATAATTTTTAGATAAAATATATAATAATGATAGTTCAAATTTAGAATTAACTAAAATTAAATTATGTAAACAAAATTAGTTTTGATAATTCTGTCTATTTTTTCACTCTGAAGTTGCATCCTAAGAAAAATTCTATTGCCCTTTATTTCTTCAAAAAATATTTATTGATTTTTTGTTCATAGTAGAAGCAATGAACTACTTTCTACAACTGCACTATTTTTAAAATCGAGAACGTGATCAAGGATTTTACTAGCTTTTCTCTAGTGGTTAATTTAGATGTCTCAAATTTCTCTGAGAATTTATTTAAATGTCTGGAGTTTCTTTTTCTGGTAACAGGTGCAAACTATAAGACGTTCTATATGATTCATAATTTTGGAAAATGCATTTTAAACTGGATGCTATTTAACTGCTAAAGATCATTAAAGCGCATTCTACTATATTTGAAACAAGGCTGAATTAGACAGTTACCTGCAAACAGTCTAATAATAACTTTAAAATTTTCAAATTTAATTTATTATTTATTTTTGATCCTGATTGATTGATTACGGAAGTAATAAAATAAAGCTTGTTAATATTCTATTTATGTCGTGTATAATAAAATTTCTAGGTTTGTGCGTAATAAAATTAAATATAATAGTTTATTAGTTTACCAAATAATTCAATGGGACAGGTCATAGTTTTATATTGCTTACTTACGTATAATATTAATTTTTCTATATGGGATAAAATAAAATTTATTTGCAGTATTTTGTTTGTGCCTATTGCAATCATTATAAAATTCTAAACTTAAATTTTGTCAATTTGTTAATAGACGATGAAATTTCTGGTCATTTGTTATAGTTGTAACTTTTTTATCACAATTTACAAACGTATCATACACTCCTAGATTGAATATCGAATTAGTAAATTATATCACTACTAGGCTATAATAAAATAAAATTATCTGACAACTCTATTTCTGTCTAGACAGAAAGTAAGTTGTTCATTTTATTCTACATTATCAGTAAAATGGAAATTATTTATAGAAGTTAAAGGTAATTTAATTAAATTTGATTGAACGATTGATTTTTTATATTCTGAAATATACAGTTATTGTATTACTTGTTTCAACTTATCAATCACTTATTAAGTTAATTAATTAATTATTAATAAAGTGAAGTGATTTTGTTCTATTTTAACACTATAATTTTAAAAATAGTACGTTGTGAAATTGAATATATTTTTTTTATTTTTTTCCTAAGAACATTTTTTGTTTCATATACGTTTCTTTTTTTCCAAATGAAGATTATTTAAGATAATTTGAAAACAAATATGTTTTTTTTTTAAGAATTTACTTATTACTTATTAAATATTAATTAGGGGTTTAGTTTTTAGTAGAAAAGTAATAATTCATAAGTAGCATACATCAAGTGATAAAAGAGAAGTTAAAGATTTTAAAGCTTCTTTGTTTTTCCTAATGTTGCGAATTACAAGATTCTATGTCATCTCCAATGGATATAAAAAATGAAAAACTAATTTTACAATTGTTACATAATTATTACTATTATTTGTCTACGATAATTATTACCTATTTTGATTATCATATACATTTTTGGAACATATTACCCTCTCATATGTTCTTTTGCCTATCTATATAAATCGATGAACCGCATTGAAAAAATAGTCGGCTATTAAGTGTCTACATGCGCATAGTCATTTAATCGGCCTTTGGCCATTATCGGGGCCATAATCTATATTCTCTTTCAAAGTCCACTCTAATATATAGACAGGTGGAAAACTACATGTTGACATACAAACTCAAATCGTGAATATAAACACCAACATCTTTTGTAGTAAAATCTGGTAAAATTTTATGAAGTGAAATAATATTGAATTTACTTTACCTTCATGGGCATAAACTAGTCCAGGGTTTAATCTCAACCTCGGCCAACTCGATATCAAGTAGTATATTATCATCGAAGCAACACTTTCACGCCAAACTACTAGATATACATATCTAACATAATATGTCTATACATAAAAAAGACGAATAGTTGACCGTTGGGTTGCCCTCTCATATAAAATATTATGTTGGAATATACGATGGCCAACAAAGATTATATACTCTCATTTGCTGTTAAAAAAATACCTTATGTTATTTCTGATTTTTGTATAAATTATTTGAATAGGCAGTTCTGAAACATAATTTAATTCTTAGGCCTTAGGTTTTATGGTTTTATATTCGTGTCTATTTTTTTACTGTAACAAGTAAAATCATATATGTAAATAATAATAATAATAATAATAATAATAATAATAATAATAATAATAAAATAATATTTGAAAATTTAGTGACTTCGACTACATTACTACATACAAATATAATAAATATCTGGAATCTAAAACTACTTTTTAAACTATCAACATCATTATTAAACATAAAAAATACTTTTGTAGATTAATTTCATCAAATTCATTGATATTAAAATTTAATTTTAGTTAATAATATCTAATTGTTACATAGTAATATTAATTCAAATTAATCAAGAATCTAAAATAAATACAAATATTATTCTCAACGAAACTGAAAGCAAATTTAACTAATGTGAATTTTTAGATATTTTTTTTTTAATTCACGTTTTCGATTTTGAATATAGCAAATAGTAAGGTTGAATTAATTTTCAAGTCGAAAATCGAGAAAAGTGAATAATAGTGCGAATTTTCAGCTAAAATTATTAAATTCAAATTTTCAATTTTGAATATAGTAAGTAAGAGAAGTTGAATTAATTTTCAAGTTGGAAATCGAGAAAAATGAATACTAATGTGAATTTAGAGCTATAATTTTTAAATTCAAATTTTTAATTTTGAATATATTAAGACAGCAAGTAGTAAAGTCGATTGAATTTTTAAGTCGAAAGTCTATAAAAGTAAATAATAGTGTGAATTTTCAGCTAAAATTATTAAATTCAAATTTTCACTTTAGAATATAGCAAGTAGTAAAGTTGAATGAATTTTTAACATTAAAATCTAGAAAAGTCAAGAACTTTAAAGCCTTTCTTTGTGTCGTTTATTTGATAGTTTTTCATCTTTCATATCACGATACCAAATATAAAATTTTGAAATTGCCTCGAATGGTTTTATATCATATGATTTAATAATGCCAAGTCAAAAATATAATAATTTGTTACATAATAATTACTACTAGCAAAAAATTGATTACAAATAAATCAATAATCAGTTAAATAAATTTTGAAGGTATTTTAATTTTTAACGTGTAAGAAAAATATATAGGTGCAATTATCTTAAATAAGGGATAACGCATTCAAAGTCCATAAGCACACAATATTAATGAATAATGGAAATAACATTTTGCTCAAAACCTCGAAAAATATGGCCAGAAGGCCTCAATTCAGTTTAAGAAAGACCTACATATACAAAATGTGCAAAAATCAATCATACCTAAATCTTAACATCATAACATAAAAATAAATTAGAAAACCACCGATCAAGTTAGCGAATAAATTCTTATAACCTAAACTGAGAAGAATGCTGATCGCATAATAAGATAATTTAACTGAAAATTATCTTAATCACGATACTTAGTTATCAGTTTAGCTTATAGAAATAAAGTTCATTTCTGATTGCTAAAAATTAAGTTTAAAAAAATTCATAAATTAGAAGTATCAGTAATCAGTTTCTTTCGTTTACAAATAAAATCTCTTCAAAAAAATTCTTTGGCATAAAGTTATCATAAGGCAATTTCTTTCTATCTACGCGTTTTTTCTATTTTTTTATTCAACAGCAGCTCTCGCTCTATAATAGCATTGACTAGTCCCATTCAGCCCCATTCAACCCCATTCGACCCCCACTAAAAACCAATTTGATTGACCAACAAACACACGCGCACTAGAACTTCAACTAAATTCCAGTTGGTGGTCGCGTGACGAGGGAAATCAGTCGACAAATAGAGTTACTTTCAGGCTCACCTCTGGTGAAATCGGAAAATATTACGCCTGGAGGACATAAATCAAATATAAATGAAACATATTCAGTTATTGAATGATTAAAGCATCGAGTAAATTAATACTAATATTAATACTTTTTATAAAAATGGTAAAATCCTCTTTCAAATTTATCTAAACGTTAAAGCCGAAGTGCCTGAAGACTGCAATGATTCGTACAAATACGTGAAAAGTGTAAAATAGTATATCGAAAATTTAGGGAACATTTGAAACACTATTCAGGGACCAAAAACGTTGGCATGTGCTGAAAATTTATGTAACTTCAATTAAATATATTGTTCAATCAGTTAAGTGAAAAGTGTTAAAAATACATCAATATTAAGGTATAAACCAGAAGGCTTTGTAAGCAGTGCTTTACAAGACAAAAACGTTGATATAAATTAAATAATTTTTTAATATTCTATGCTATAGCTATAATTAATCAAATTTCCAACATAATTTTTGTTTATAACATTGTCAATTTAATATGAAATCAAGTGTGATACTAAATTACCTATATAAAAGTGAGAACAAAATAACATAATTCATTTATTATTATATTTTCTGTTTGTGGTTGGTGATTCAATAATGATCAGTTCTGCAAAGTGATTTTATAGAATAGTTATGTTTGAAGTAAAATATAATAAAATTGTTTTGTTGTCCTTGCTAATAATATGCCGGTGATGCGCCCTAGTTCTTTAGCAAGAAATGGAGGTGGAGGATCTAGAGGTCCTAGCCCTCAAAGAAAAGGTATTACGTACTTTCAATAGTATTATAACATAAATAGGTTGTACAGGCTGAAGTTCAAAGATCCAATTTGATTTTTAGTACTGTGAAAACCAAACCCAACAGTATCAGAACAAATAGCACATATCAAATATACTAATATCTAGCAATGTTCAGTAAAATTCCAAGATAATTTATCATAGCTTTCTAGATATTTATCATACTATTTTTTTTATTTTTCTCAAATTTGTCCTTTGCTTCTTTTTTACCCACAAGCGGGTTATGAAGGGACACCCAGGGGAAAAAAGATCCACTATTTAATTTTTAATTTTCAATGGGCAAAATGGACAGCCAGAGAACAAAAATACCCAGTATTTTATCTGTAATTTTGAACAGGTTCTACTTAATAATATCTACATTGATAAATGATAGTGTTGCAATTTAATCATTAGTGAATAACAAATGCATAACAAATAACCTAAATATATGTTATTAAATATAATAAACAAAAATCTTTATGAACTTTTACAACAATTATAAATCTTCCTTCGTCAGATATTTCTGCTTAATTTGGCATAATCAGTTCAGCATTGTTTCTTGAAATGCATTTATTGCAAAAGAGATAAATACAACTTGTGTCAAATACATATTTCATAGGCGCATTTTTTACAAAGATCAAACTCCTTACAACTTTTTGTATAAAACTTTGTCAAAAGAATTTATTATAAGTTTTAATAAATAACTGTTAAATAAAATTGCCTCTGATGAGGTAGTTTTTTTAAACTTATTCTACATTTTAATTTACTATCTTAATTTTTTATCTTAAAAAAGTTTTAGAAATATTTTAAATTAAAAAATTATTTATAGATGATAATGACTTTAGATTATATAAAGTTTCTCTATCTATAGAACATTTGGAAAGCTTTTTAACTTTTGCTTACTTAAGGTTCATGAAGGTCCAGGTCCAGGACCATACGTCCTGGTTTGGCCGGAAATTTTACCTTGTGTCCCGGTCCCGGGTGTTTCTAAAAGCAAAATTTGTTCCGAATTTAAATCTTTTGTCCGGATTGTCCCGGTTTGTCGAAAATCAATTTATAAATATTAATTATTTATTGTATCCTTAAACAGCATTTGTTATTTTAAGTAATATAATATCTAAAAATTGTTGTCATTGTTTTGGCTTAAAAAAATATAGTCACCTTAAATTAAAAACATAAATAATTACATTTATTTTATTTTACTAAATTTTTATTATATCTTTTTTTTATATTCAGGTCCAAAAACGCCGACGTCGCCAGCGGGTCGAAAGCCATCTCCTACAAAAGTACGGAGAAGTCCTGCTCAAAGTCCGCAAAGGGCTAGAGGTGGATCAGGCCCTAGCAGTCCTGTTAAACCTACAAATAATACCAACAATGCTAGAACTGCATTGACTAGTTCTCAGGGCAGCGAGTAAGTTCATAATTTTTAAATAATTATTCATGAAAAAACATATTCTCTATATTCACGTGCAAATTACAGAGTGGGTCATTTAAAGTCGAAGGCGTATTCTAAGTCATTTACGTGTTATCGTTTTTAAATGTTACCTCATTCAATCTAAAAAAAATTGTAATTTATTGAATATTGAAAATATATAATAATATTCATTCATATTTTGAGAAATAATTGCTTCCACTCTGAATGATCCACCGAATACGAGAATTTAATACCATGAATCAGAATTAAGCCTACTATGAAAAGTGTAGTGGGAATATATAACGGGTTTAATATTTTCAGATTTGCGTAAATTTGAAATTTTTAGCGTGCTTTGAATTTATGGAGATTTTTCCATGAATAATATTTTATACATAGAAATATCGCTAAAAATATATTTAAAATATTGTAGTCATAAGAAAAGTGACCATCACCCCATTACGAAAACTATGCATTTACATATGAAATAATTTCAACTTCTGTGTCCAAAACTTCTTATATAGACATTTTTGCAAAATTTTTTTTTGAATTATATATCGTTTCATTATAAATTACAATATAACATAAAATATTGCATCAAATTAAAATTTATTCATATACTTTGAAGCTACTTTTTCTTCATCATAATTTGTTATTTTTAAATTACTCTATAGTTAAATACTCAGTATGTATTTTCATATTATAATATGAATTATAATTTACTTGTTAAGTAAACATATAAACTTTATTTTATTCCTTCGCCGGTATTATGTCGTTTATTGTATTAATTTCTTAAAAGGTTCGTTATTAAAGTCGCTAAAAATTATAAAGAAAATCTTAAGATGGCAACTAAGTAAGTACGGCTTTTAGCTTATGTGGTTTTAATTGAACTTTTAGGTTTGCTGATGTAGTCTAAATGTAAAGTTTTTTTTATCTATTGCCTAATTTTCGTTTGACGTTCGTTGAAAAATGGCAAATCAAACCGAAAATTTTGGACAATTTTTGCTTTTTCATTCCTGCATAATTGAAAAGGCATTTTAAGCTCTCAAAAAGCTGTTCATGGTGACGAAATCTTAAAAAGAACGGCAGTATCAAAATTGGTTTACTAAATTTTGTTGTGGTGATTTTTCACTTATACTTTTTTTGGGAGAACTGCTGAACCGATTTGAATGGTTTAAAGAAATAGTCAAATTGTTTTAACAATGAGATATAAAATTTTGACACAAAGCTGTTTTAATCACTTTCGAGATACATTAAAAACACAAGACTGGGTATTTAGCATCAGAATGTAATACTAATAATTTTTCATAGCAATTCATACAGTATATTTAGATTCTATTTACTAAATTTGAATAATCATATTTAAGTAAATTTTGGATTTAACGGTCGAAAATAGTCAATTAAGTTTTATACTAATTCAGAAAAAAATTGCTAAATATCAAATTTGTCTTTTCCATTATTCATAAAACATTTCTGCACTAGTTTTTTTTATAATTACCACTTTCGCATTTTTATTACCACCTGAAATTACAATTGATTTCCATCATGAACTAGAAACCTTTTTATACCTATCTGGAAAAACATTTAACTCTTCATGCATTGTCACAATAACCTTGATACAATTTTTTTATTGCTTTATTATCTCCATAAATTACATTTTTCCCTCAATTTAAATCAGTGACATGTGTGCAGGTCATAAAAGTAGAGACTGGAAAAAAGTTAAATAAAAAGTACAACGTATAATTTTTTATTTTATTGCTACTGCGACACATAAATAAAATGATAAATGATTGCTGCAAAATCATAGGAAAATTCCTGAAAGCTTATAGATGTTTTATAAAAGTTTTTACGTGTATATTAAATGGTGAATCAGATGTAGGTTGATGAGGTTGGAATGTGATATTGATTTGGTTACGAAGTAAATTACAAAATTTTCATATAAAAAACTAAATTGACAATAGGTGTAGTAAATTCAAGTTTTGTTACAGGGACCCTTGAAGGCTAATTTTTATTTGCCGAATATATTGAAACCTCAATATTGATAATATTGAAAAAAAAAGTCTTTTGATGATAAGTCAACTTGTCTAATTTCATTAATGATATTACGCTTTTAAATTTGATTATACTTCTTATACCATACGCAAATATGTTCATGTTTTGCTACAATTATTTATCACTTTTATTTGAAAATATAGTATTTATACACATATTTTCGTCAAACTCAAAACATCATTAACAAATCAATACATTTCTCTATATGTGCCGAAACTCTCTGTTAATGTGCTGAGTTAATATGAATAATTGATGCAAGAGTAAACAATCCAATGTCAAAAATTCGATTTTGAGAACGGACTTTTTCATATAAATTATGGTAATAAAATCATAATGTATTGATATTTATAAATATTTTAATTAATATATGTGCAATACAAATTATAATATTCAAATGTTGTCAGTAACGAAAAGAAAATTTACTACTTCTATTGCCAATTCAATATTCTATATAATATTGCAGATATAATAGTTTTACGAGTCAATTTTCTTACATTTTCATTTTTAAGTTAATTCAGTTGCCTGAGTTTTTTTCTAGACGTTCATTCAATAAGAAAGAAAAACTAGAATTATTTAAAAAAAAAAAATATGTTTTTCATACTTTTTGACTTCCAATTTGACTTTTCTCCAGTTGATAAAATACACAAAAACCACATACAATGAACAAAAGACTTAATTAACGGTCATATTTATGAAAAAAATTATGAAATTTATTTGAAAAATTTAGTTGTAGAAAACGTAATTCGTTATTAAAGGTTTTTTGGATTGTTATGCAGTTGTAAATAACACTTTTATTATCATCTCTTGGGCAATTTTTTATTTCTTGCATAAATGGACTATTCCATCCTGGAATTTCCAGGTTCAGAAAAGAAAATTTAGAAATTTTTATTTTTTAGACTCAAATAGTAATCTGAGCTTAAGAGTAAGATTTCTATGATCTGTTATGATGATTTTTCTCAACTTAGTAACTTTTTGAGAAGCAACCCAATGGTCGATCTATCTCTCTTTGATATATTTTTAACTTTCCGTGAATTATAGTAATCGCAAACGAATCGAAAATTTATTTTTTTATTTTCTATAAAAGTTTCTGAATATTTAGGCATATTTTACAATTAGACAAAATGAGTGTGTGAGTTAGTGTTTTCAAAAAATTTAAAAACATAAAAATTAGAATGCAAGAACTTTAAAAATCTCATTGTTTCAAAGTTTTCAGTTTAAGTTTTTTTTTAATAATTTAAATTTTTGGTAGGGGAAGTTCCTACAGTTTGTCTTATAGCACGATGCCATGTTCCACTATTAGATTTTCTTTAATGCTGATGATTTTATTGATTTGATGAAGTAGAATGAGAATTTTTACTTCGTAACATAAATAAAAGAAAAAAATAAAAAAATGAAATCACTACACATCTAAGATTGCACAATAAAAACATCAGGCTAAAATAATCATAAATGGAAAATTATTAATATCCAAACAAGGGTGTAATTAAACAGGCAATAAAAGTATAGTTAAACGCAACAAAACACGAATTGTCTGTTTATTCACATTGGCCAAGGCCAAAGTCAAATGGCTTTGATTCAACGAAATTCTACAAAACTGACACGTGAATGAAAATATCTGCCTAATTGGAGAACGATACCGATTTGATATATCGGTAATGATTTTGTTTACATAAAGGATTGCTGACAATAGTGGAAAATAACGTGAATTATGGATAAATATTACCTTGACCTTGTGATTCATATATAGTACAAAGAAGGATAAATTGTCTGTTTTAGGATAAAAATGGTAGTAATTAATCAGTGAACTTGACGCTCTTATAGAACAGTGTACACAGTTTTGTATTGTCCAAATCGAGCTTATGACGGGTATATTTGTCAATCACAGAGTAAGGAATTGGATGATAAATATAGGTTAATTTTACAAAACGGAAATTTTTTATTACTACACGTCTTTGTTACCATGAGCCCTGATTGTACCATGATTATTATTTATTTTTTTATTTAAACAAATATTTGAAAGAATTAAGCGAGGCATCTTCTACTCGAAGATTGAAAAAAAATAGTCATACGATCTTAAATAAAATGTCAAAAAGGAAAAAAAAAGAGATATCTCATAGTAGATAATCTCTTAAATGCATTTACACCCAGCATATTGTCTTAAAAAAATGTATATTATTTTGATCGGTAATAAATCTATGCAAATAAAAAAAATATTTATTTATTTATTTATTTATTTATTTATTCACTTATTCATTTATTTATTCATTTATTTATTTATTTATTTATTTATTAGATTAACAAAAAAGCAAAGGACACATAAAAAATCACTGTAGGTCATGTACAAGGTTATATTTCGCTAAGCCATTTATTATAATTTTATTTTGTTTCTATAGATTCGATAAAAGAATGTATAAAGTAGAAGGCAATCACTTAGTGCTAATGACATATTTGATAGTTCAGATAAAATCATAAATTAAATCGAAAAACATAGGAGAGAGCAAATTTCACTTAGAAACATATTTTATCTATTACTTTCTAGTAAAAATTGATATGACTAGAGTTTTTCTTTGAATTTTAGGTGTTTGACTCGTCTATCGTCCAAACGGTTTAAAATACGAAGTTACGATATATGGAAGAAGTTCTTAAAAAATCGAGACGAATCTAATGATATATAATATTTTATACGACTTTTTTACTATTTTTAAAATATTTTAGAAAGTTTAATATTTGCACATCCAACACGAAAAACGGTTAAACTTACATAAAAGTTTATTAGGAAATTACTGTTTGTGATAAACCGATTTGAATGGTTCAAAAAATATTCGATTCCTATTGATGAGAAGACGTTCTAAATAGTTTTTAAAGGCAGGTCTAGCCGTTTCGGAAATACGGAGAAATAACGCCGAAAATAGAAATTAAGTTTTTGCAGGAAAGAGCATCTGCTTTGA